TTCTAAAAACACTACATTGACCAAGCAGTCTTTATTTGCTTTGGCTAAACTTAGGGTTAGTAGATGGACTTGATATACGATAAGATATACATAAAAGAGACTCATTTTAAGATATACTATGTGGTATCCTTCCATTTCCCCTTATCCACTGAATTTGTATCTTTGTTATTTTTCTGTTACTGAATAGTTATAAATAACCCTTCTTAAATAAATAATGGGAGTTGGTTTCAGCTTGTTGATTTTCTGAAATATTTGTACTTAAAAACATTGAATTTAGGACTAATGTACTGTCATCTGGCTCCCTCTGGTGGACATTCATATGAAAAAAATCAAGCCTTAGTTTTCGGGGTTTTTTTTGTGGGGGCGAGAAGGGGATGGGTTGTTCTAGTTGTAGGTGGGAAAAGGAACAAAAACATTTTTATTTTGCAGATACATCGTAATCATTATTGAAAATATCCCCAAGGAATAAAATGCATTGGTTTTAAATACATAATAGAATATCAATAATAAAATACATAGTCATAATAATGCTATTGTTATTTTTCCTGTTAGTGAATAGTGACAGTACTGGGACCACAGTATAAAATAGAATCAGAGGCAGATTTTACCATGTAGCTTTATAGCAGCGCTACATAAGGCAGGGTATACTGTTGTACAATATACTGTAGTTAATTCAGTGGTCCAAATACTACTCCACAGATTATTCCAGAACCTTCCAAAAGCTAGACTTTTCACTCAGTAATACATAATTTTGAAATTCTAGCAGATGATTATTTTTATTTTGAATCATTTTATTTTGATAAACCGGTCAGTGTTTGTCTATTTTGTGATCTTCTGAATTTACAGACTCACTGGAGATGCTTTATCTTTATTTTATCATGGGGAATTAATTGATATCAAGTTTTATCTTGTGTCTTTTTTTTTTTTTNCGGGAGCGCTGCCGCACTCCCAAGCACCGCACTCTACCGAGTGCGCCACCGGGCCGGCCCATCTTGTGTCTTGTTTTGATAGCATGTGTTCAATACTGTTAACCAGGAAGAAACTGCACAAAGTCTTTTAGTTAAATTTTCTTTTTATTTTTTTGCCCTAGAGTCACAGCAGGAGCCTTGGGTTAGAAAGTAGAATTTGGGGGTCACTAATTTAGCTCATCTAGTCACCATGCTCCTTGCTATTTTGAATCCTTTGGAATCATCTTAAAGAGTTCTGATCCCTTCTTTTGTTTTTAAAGAATCTTTATGTACTTTTTAAAATTTATTTTAAAATTTATATTATTACAAAAATTGTGTATGTTGATCACATGCAACATGTTTTTTCGAAACGTATACATTGTGGAATGGCTAAATAAAGCTAATTAACTATGTATTATCTCACATACTTTTAACTTTTTTGTGGTGAGAACACTTAAAAATCTACATTCTTTGCAGTTTTCAAGAATATAATACATTGTTATTATCAATAGTCATCATACTATTTAGTTTAATTAAATTTTATTTCTTTTCTTTTTTTTTTTTTCGTGTCTGGCAACGGACCGCAACCCTCAGTGTTGCACCAGTACTGGACCGGGACCGGCAATGGGATCGCAACCCTCGGTGCTGCGCCCGCCCCTCGCTCANTCAGCCAGTGAGCGGGAACCGGTCTGTATGTGGGATCCAAACCCTCGGCGGGAATGCCGCCACGCTCCCAAGCGGCGCACTGTAGCAGTGCGCCACTGGGCCGGCCCTAAATTTTATTTCTATATAATTTATAGAATAGTAAAAGTTCACACTTACTGAGTTAAGCATTTGATGGGCATGATCTCATTTAATTCTTTCAGTAACTCCAGGAGGCAGTTTGTTATTATTGGCATT